GCCCTTTGCTATTGGGGCCTGTGTTGAAGGCACCCCATAACCATGAACCATCTGAGAAAAGGTTTGAATTTTTCAAAAGAACTTTATTAAGAAACAAAGGAAAGATATAAAATATACAACCAAAGGAATGAAAGAGTCTACAGCACAGATACTTTATACCGCAGGGCAACTAAGAGAAATGGGCTGGGCCAACACCATGGCCTGGGTACTGAGGCCCTTATTCCTCGTCTTCAACCCAGGCTGTCTTGGCCACTAAGCCAACCAGTTCAGACTTCCTCTGGTGACAAGTCAGTTGCCTTCCCAAACCTTCTTTCTAATCTCTTTATACACAGGAACTTCTCTACCTGGTCCCCAAGATTCCTCACCGAGCTCCTCAGGTGAGGTCTCCACCCTCCAGTCGCAGGAGTCTGCGGTGCCTGGAAAACCTATTTTTGCTCCTGTCCTATTCCGTTTAATTAAACTCTATGCATGAGCCAGTTGGGGAAGTCTGGTTCTGCTCCCTTTGATCGAGTTACCTATTTTCCTAAGCCTGCATCAGAACTTGGTCTTTCTGCTAAGAACATCTTCTTGGGTGCTCTTTCCAGCAGCTCTCTGCCCCAGCTGGTGCAGAACTGCTTTCTCCCCAATACAGAAGTCCACACCCCTGTCCAATCTCTCATTTAATTTACAGGATAGCTCTAGTTCTCAGCTTACCTGCCAAGGAGATGGTCAAACACCTTGATCTTGGCACCCACCTGTCAAACCCTGCCCAGCTCAGATCACCAACCTCACTGATTTCCTCTGAACATCATTGACTTCTCTCCTGGACTTCTGCCCCTTTGGAATTTTATCTCTGTAGATATAGAATATGACATCACTTGATAGATACTCGTACAGTAATAAGACTAAAGAGGAGAGCTACTCCCTCCCAAATTATATTTTCTCTAAATGATCATAAGACTGGGCTGCTTTTGCCATTTTTAAGTTTTTCTAAATGTCTATGGCTATCAGTTCTTAATTAGTACAGTGTGATTCTCCGCTAGTGGTTAGCAAGCTGGCCATTGGTCCCTTTTGCTTCTGCACTGTTGTGTCTTCAAATATGGCTTCTTCAAGCAACCACTGGAAAGCAAAGCTAAACAGTCTCCCCCAAAGGAGAATATGGTTTGCAGGTAACAACTCTACCCAGATGTTCTTGAGGTTTTACCTCACATTACATGCACATAATATCCCCATTCAAGCTGGCACTAACAGGGAGTATTAGGTCAGTACAAGTCAGTTGAACTTTTTCCTAACCAACACCTTGGATCTGAGCTTTGTTGGTGTGCAAAATACTTCTCTACACTTCTCATGCAATCCTCACAGCAACCCTGTGAGGTGGGCATCGTGATTATCACCATTTTACTGACATACAAACTGAGGCTCAGAGAAGTTAAGAACTAGACCAAGATTACACAGCCGTTTAGTAGAAGAGCCAGCACTAAACCCAGGTCTCTGTGGCCTCATCCTCTTCCTGGTTTTCAGCAGGAAGAACATGAAAGAGGTTTTCTACTTCCCTCCTCCCTACCCGAAAGACATTCTCCTTTCACTAGTCCATGCATAACCTGGACAGTTCCAAACAGGAAAAGCAACAGTTTCTCAGGTTAATTGTCATAGTCCCATGTGGGGTGGGAGTGGGGAGTTTTCTTGTATCTTTTACGATGTTCCTGATTTCTAAGCATCTGTAGTTTAACCTCAAACTCTTTCCCTCAATGCTCAGCAGCACTTTCAGTGGGATTTGCTAGGATTCCCAGGTCACAGTTGAGGTGCTGAGGATTTTAACTCGAAATTATGCTCGATGCTACACTTCCCAACCATCTTTCACATTTTGCCAGTGTTCTGTGCCTTCCAGCCCTACGTCTTTATGAAGAAATTGTTTCCCTCTGCCTTCCAATGGCCCTGGGAAGCCACTGGCTCCATCTCTAGAACACCTGTGGGATTCTCTTCTTGCAGCCAGGTGAATTTCATTTTGGAAGGTCCCTATTCCTGCTTTGCCTCCTGGGTGGGCCACTTGGCTGGAGCCATTTCACCAGTGAGACCCTCTGCCCATGGTTTGATGTGCAGCTCTGGAGACCTGCTGTTCTATCTGAAAGGTGTATGATCCCCTAGAATCCATGTCCCCTAGTACCCCCCTCTGCACACACAGAAACAGGACACCCCAATCTCATCTTTTTCTCACGTGGAGCCCAGTCTTGGGAGGCACGTATATGGTGGACTGTGTCCACAGTGCCCCCTACTGGAGATTTCCCACCAGCCAAGGTTTAGGACAGCTTGGTTGACTAGGGTTGTGGCATTGGAAGTGGGAAATCTCTGGAAAAAGTCATACCAAATCCCTTTCTAGATATTAATTTCACAGACGTTTATTGAGCACCTACTATGAGCTATACCTGAGCTATACCAGATAGAGCTGCAACCAAGATAATCACCATCCCCACCCTCACCAACTAGTTGGTTCTGTAGAACCACCACCTAGTTTACAGTTGGTCTGAGTTAGTTGTTGAATTCAAGACTTTCCCTGCCTTCTGTACACTCCATAATAATCTGATCACCCGAGAGGACCACCTGATCTCTACGAACCCTCCCAGGGCAGTCCCTTGTTCTGCCGCCCTGCCCAGACAGGCCCTGCTGTGATGGCCCTTCCTACCTTCTGAGCCCTGACCAGCCGAGATTCTCCCTGGCTCCTGCCTCCTCTCTCATAGGACAATCTCATTTGTTTTAACATATTCATTCTCAAATCCAATATTTATTCTTGAATCTCATTTATAGAGGTGTCTTTTCTTGAAGTAAATATTCAAGCATATATGTAATGGATAAAAATAACTGAAATAGAAATGTGCATATATGAATAATAGCACAAAATAACTCAAAAAGAACCCAATCTCCCAAATCACTGACTATTTACAAAATCTGAACCTATGACCGCTTGGTAACTATTCAGACTGACTTTCACCTTGTTGCTATCACTACGTGATGAAAATTCCAGATTTTCCTTTTTTTTTTTTTTCCTTATGACTACATCACATCACTATCTCTTCTCAATAGTTTTCATAGTTGACATACATGAAGCCTGTAGCTCATTCCCCTAACAGACCACAATGACTTGGCTGTCACGCACAGCTGAGCTGTTTCCAGTTGACTGTAATATATAGGGCAGCCACAAACGTCTCTATGCAAACACTTTTTTCTCTTGAATTATTTTCCCAGAATGTATTCCCCAAAGCAAGATAACGTATTCTTATAATCTTTCCTTTTTTTAAAACTCTTGTCAAATATTGCCAAACTGCTCTGGGAAGCATCATTTTTATAGTGTCAGGCATCTGTTTCTCCACAACATATTTTTAAAATTTATTTTTGACAAATGCAAGTGGTTTTATTTTTTAATTTATATTTTTAAAAATTTTACTAGTCCTTGCCCGTGTGCATCTCCTCCTGGTGCACAGACTATTTGGTTATTTGACCAAATAGGTCTCTAGTCACTGCCTATACTGGAGACTCAGCTCTTCCTTATCCAATCAATCCTACGTAGTTTTCTCATCTTATTGATTCTATCACCCTCTTTATTATTCTTTGCTACGCATACATTCTTAATTTTTATATAATTGAGTTTGTCCACCTGGACTTTAATGATTTCCCTCATTGTTTGAATAAACAAGAAACAGCCTCTTCGGAAAAGGCTTTTCTTTCCCCTCCCCCTATCGTCCTGCACTTTCCCTCTGGCCTTGTCCAAAATCCCTCTGGTTCCTACAGATGCTCCATCGTCCCTGATCCCTACTTTAAGATTCCCTTTTGTCATCTCCCGACAGCTAAACACATCCTCAAACTTATTCGACCACCTTAGCTCCACTGCTGTCACCACCCGCAAAAAGGACCTGTGGTCGCGCTCACCTCCTAATGGATCCTTCCCTCCGGTTTTTACGCCTCCATCTACCCCAGCCCCGCTGCCGACTTCTCAGGTTTTCCCGCTGGCTTGGCACCCCCAGTACCACACCAGGCCTCCACATTTCTGGTGTCCCCCCTAGCAACTGCGGCCTGTTGAAGGGCAAATTCCTTCACCCCTTTGTTCAGCCAGGTGAAGCCCACCTTTTCTCAAAACTAAGGGGAAACCAAAAATAGACTCCAGGAAATGTAAAGACATCAAAACAGCAGTGTTGCCTCATGGAGATTTTACATCCTACGCCGGCCTTACCTCAAATGGGCTTGGCGCGGGGCGTTGAGGGCTCCCCTTCTCTGATACTCAGAACTTGGTTTTTTAGACACCACCTCTGTTGGGTTTGGTTTTCTGGTAGCCTATTCGCTCCATAGCCTTTGAGGCTAACACCTCTAGGCCTCTGATGTGTCTGCACTTGTTTCCACATGAAGCCCACCCTGTACTTCACTGGGGGGCTCTGCTTCCTGGCTTTGGCTGGCAGAAGATGTCATGTATTGCCATTTCCAACTCACAGGCCTCTTCGGACCCCACGTGCTCCTGGGCCAGTCTAAGAAGAACCAGGTCTCCAGCTCCCCTCCAGAATGCACCTGTCTGACCTACCCTGGGCCCTTCTTGGCTCAGAGAACTTTTTTGCCTACCTCCCTATGACTCTCCCTTGGCTACTCCATCGGGAATGGTTTTGAAGAATGCAAATCAGAGCAAGTTTACAAATCTCGGAAACCTAAATTATACAAAAGCAGCAACAACAGCACAGTCACCCCAAAGAGCAAGGGGCTGGTAAGCTCCCAGCACCCTCCCAGCCCTGCTCCTCTGCTTCTGAGAGTTACAGTCACTCCACCACACTTGGTCCCTGCCCCTGCACACCAGAAGACGGGTTAGCAGTTTGCCACTTCACATTCAAAAATTGTCACCTCCTGCCCTTCAGGAAAATGCGCCATCAGCTGCCACGTCCCTTGGGCAGCTCTGCTCTCCTGCTGCCCGCCCCTTCCCACCCCCCGACCCCC